GCACTTGGGTAAGATTATTTTCGCTCCTGGTAGGAAGCCATCCGGAGTGATATACTTGTCCTCCACCGGCTCGAAGAACTTAACGTTGATGTGATCGTGACAGACGGAGTAGCAATTCGGGCGACCAAGACTATGGGAAAGACCATACTCCATGGATATGACAATCCAGAACAGTCTTCTTCGCATATCAATCTCTAGAGGGTCCAAGGTCTGCCCGCTGGGAGATTGAGTAATGGTCGCTTCATCGGTAAGCCCTAAGTCTTGACATAACTTGACTGCCATTCCTACGACCCAATATGCCGCTGTCCTTGTTGGCGTGAGCATGGAGTATTGAGCAATCAGGGCAAGGCATTGCAAAGATCGAAGGTCCATCCGTTTCAACGACGGTTCCAAGTATGGCAGCGCCGCGAGGTAATAACTGTCCGCCAGGCCTGCGTAAGCAGTGCTCATCTTTTGCATGCTGATGGCTATCACCATGCGTAATTGAAAATTATGGCAAGGATCTTTAGACCCGTTAAGCACCTCTTCGGCTTCTTCGCGGAAGGTAGGCTCGTGCAAGGTCGGAAGCATTGCCTGGGCTAAACGGCAAATCAACCATGACTGTACAGCTGCATAGGATAGAATGCTAACGTACCCTTGACTACAAAGACATCAATAAGTCTGTACGTTAGGTGTCTTTCTGGTAGATTAGGCTGCGGTGTCGAACTAATCATGGGATACACTTTTGACGTTGGCTTGGAGCTCTCTGCTGCAAAAGCATTTTTTATCTGCTGCGCTGTCATTTCAGGAACGACGTCTTTGATGCTTTTGGAATCTGTATTTTGCTTGGCCAGTTCCATGACGAGGCGTGTGATCGCAATACCGCTGGACGGTCCCAGATATCTCGACTCGTCATTCTCCTTGAAGCGAATGCGGCCTGCCCCGCGCACCATGAGCTCCGCGTCCGCTGCATGTTGAAACTGTCTCTCGACTTCAGCAAGTTCGCTCTCTAACCGACGAGCCTTTTCTCGGAGTGAGACAATATGATCCCTTGATAATGTCCTTTGAGACGCCGAATCGTAAAAGACACACTTGGCGTTGACGCGTTCGCATGGTGAGCATCGAGGGATTCCGGGATCACACCTAGATTTACGCTGTATAAGTGTTAGAATTTTTTTCTCGAGCCAGCGAAACCACATATAAACAAAGTCAGCGATAGAGTAAGGAACACTACGTACATGTCTGCACCGCGTACAAGCAGTCAACGTATGCGCAATCCGGCTATCAGGGGTATGAACAGACGGCTCTGATATTGTTGATGGAGAGTCAGACCAGGGGTTGGTGAATTGTGGGCGGGAGCTTGAAGAGTTTAAATGTGTGGCCATTGTGGTATGTCGTGCAGGAGCACCCCTATATTAGGTTGACCGAAGGTTTGCAAGTTTAGCCGAAAGAATCATCAACGTTGCATTCTATGTATCGCATTTAGCCTTAAGAAAATGGAAAGCTTTTGAAAGGTCTGATCCGAGCGTCAGGCACACGCGACTGTGGAAGTTTGAAGGGGCACTTGAGGAACGAGCACGTTCGACATGTTCAGGGTTCGCTCTGACATGCACCAGCTGCTAGGAGTAGGCAGGCAATACCTGTACAGATCTAGGGGGGGGGGTTGTACAGGTTGAAGAGCTCAGCTAGCACTTCACACAAATTCCGACTCACGGTATCCGTTCAGACATTGGCAAAAAACACAAGATATGCAGTTGCGAATTTGAAATGGGGCGCAAAGGAGGGGGTGAGGTGGAAACTTGAAGTGAAGCAGGCCTCGGTCCACCTCCCGCCTGGATCGACGGCACGCTAAAGAGCGCCCCGATGACCGACGTCGCACTTACCAGGCCTACGGCCACCCACAGCTGCCCCTTGCGAACACTGGCCTCGAAATTGACGGGTGGGACAAATTCACCCCCGGTGGGCCTCTCCCTTCCCCCCCTCTCTCTCCTCCGTACCGGACAATTTTCTGATGGAAATATTGGCTTCGCGATCCGATCAGTCAGTCACATTATTTTGCATTTCCGGTGGCTGTGAGAAAAGAGAGAGAGAGAGAGAGCTCTTATAGTAGGTCGGAAGTTTCACGGACACGAGGATACATATTCTGATGACCTAGGACATGAGTAAAAAAGTATGCATAACCTTTCTCGGGGATCTGCGGTGGCGGATGATCTAGTATCAATTACTACTGGGGTTACTTCTAATAATTTGGGAAGGGGGCAGTAGTAAATTACTACTACTACTTAACTATCTAGTACTCTCAACTAGTTGGCTTCACGCACTAAAGTTCTCTTCGAAGATAGATCTGTAAAAGGTAACACTGTAGGAGCCTTGAAGTCATCAAATTAGGTGAACCGCGCTCTTCGGAGTACGCACAAAAAATGAATAGTGTGGATGAGGTAACTAGTATTGAAGAGATAGCCATCACACCTTCCAGATAATAAGCCTTACATCGATTGGTTGCCTGCTTTGGTCGTACATGGCATCGATGCTACTCACTACCATGACATAAGTACTACGGAGTAAATTCTGAAAATCTGAGAAGGCCTTCTCTTTGTCAGTCCAAATATCTCAGCAATAGTAAGCCCTTGGCAAGTCTACTCGTCAACACCTCTTTGTCTAGTCGTATTTCGGATCAGAGCCGACCAGTCCTATCCATAAAAAAAAGATGTAGGGAGACTCAAGAGAAAGTCCGCGGGATTAAATTCCAGAGAGTCTAGCCCCTTCTAAGAGAGATTAAGTAGATAGCCTTCAGAATTAACATGCCATGGATGCAGAATTGCGAAAATGAAGAAAGAGGCGAAGAGGATCTTAACGCCATGGTCGGAACCAGTTTGTTGGTTCATCTGATCCAAGCTTCGGAAAGCTATCCCAAAAGGGTATATGGGTAAGCACGGGCGGGTGTCTGCAAATGCCTCTAATGAGTTAGAACTTCTGCTAGTAATTTCTGTTGATCAACTACTAGTTAGTAGTCACTACTGTTATGATTTTTTCTGAGTGAGGACCTCGAAGACCTACAACCCCGTATTGGCTAGACTGCTCTTCAGGACGAATCAACATGATGAGGATAGGAATACTAATGGGAGCATTTCGCAATTAATACACCACACTCTGTTGGGAGATTTGACTGGCTTACAACGTCTATGAGTGGACAACAGAGGGTGTAAAAACTAGTTTAGCGCCCCGAGCATCAAAATTAGATGCAAGGATTTTGGTTGCATAATTCCAGCCACTGCGACATCGGCAGTTATTGCTACAGACAGACATTCTGTTGCGACATATCATGACACTGACGAGCTCATAAAATCCGAACTACGTATCTCTTTCACGAATTTGGAGACGTCAGTGTGGACATTCTCTTCCAACTCCCTGGTCAATCAACACCTTTTTCTGGGGAGGGGGAATAGGGGGAGTAAGTAGGCACTACAATAGATACTACTAGTAGTAGTCCTACTTTCTGTTCTGGACCGGCCAAGTGCCGGGTGTTGCAGCATGAAGATCACTAATACGGACACCGTACTAGCACCGGCTGACCGAAGCTTTCCCGCTAGATTATGCATAACACTCAAGTGGACGCCTCACAAGTAAAATGTAGGGTGAGAGCTGATACAACGGATGAGGTAGATATAAAATTGCATACTAGGGCTGGATCTTGCTTTAACAAGCACAGCTCTGGTCCCGAGTGGTTTCCAAGGAATTTGCGTAGGGAGAAAAAAATCCAGCCCCCATTGCGCGTGGGGGAGGTGGGGACCACTTGGGGGGGCAATGAAAGGAGGGGCGTGAGCAGGAGCCAGCCTTGGAGCCAGCCTTGACCGGGAAATGGTTGTGTGGCACCCAATGACAGTAAGCCGTCCACAAGCAAAACCGTTCGGGCCAGATGTCCGTGGTGGTGCTGGTGGTGCTGGTGCTGCTTGGTGCCCGGGCGGGTGGTTACCTTACGAATTGTTTTGATAAGAAAGACACTGAAGCCAACCCCTCCCTTCCCATTTACCCATATCCAATTTTCCAACAACCACTGGTAGCACCCAACTTGTCAACAATATTGCGAGTCTCTAAAGTGCTAGTACAGTTTGAACACTCAGAGTTCAAGCAATTTCTTCGAAAAGACGATCAGTGAACAACTAGAACGAAGGCTAATAGGGGAAGGCCCGCCAAACAGTTAACGACGACTAAGGTACTTTCTACTTGACTTTAGTACGTACTAGGCATACGGGGCTGACGGGTACGGTACGAACCCCCCTCCTCCTCCCCTGCTTTTGCACTAGCTCGTGACCCTAATTGCATACCAGCGCCTGCGGTACTTGTCTTTTCCTCCCTTCCACCCTCTACGACTGGCTCATCTGCTCCTAGTCTAGGCTTAGTAGCAGCACTACGACTATTTCCTGAGATACTGATACCTTTCGCTTAACGGTGATTTGTCTCTTACTTTTTCTTTTTAGTATTTTCCTTCTGTTCCGACCTTCATACCCACAACGGTTGTACTGCTTGGGAAAGTTTAACACCCGTCAGCCCCCTCTGTACTCGGGGCAGTTTGAACCCCTCTCGCTACTTTGCCCGTTCAGCCAGCCTCCCCCGCCTGGTTTCGGGCTAACTTGATAGCGCTAGTGCCTGGTGAGTAATCTGCCTCTTGAGTTCTAGTCCTTAAAGCCATATACATACCTAGGCAGGGCCACCAGCCAAGAAGGAGTCAAAAGAGAAGGAAACATGGAGTTGGAAACTTCCGTTTTCCCCAAATATCCCGCCATTGTATTTTAGTTAGATGACTGCAATACGCGCGATAAATCCGATGCGAGGAGCTTTCGCTGAACACCACCGAGTTCTTCCTGCATGCTAATAATAACCGAACAGATTTACGTCTGAGCGCTTCTTTTGACTTTATCAAAGCGACTTGTGCTTTTCATCCCTCTTTCTTTATCCCCAAGGTAGGTACCTATCATGGTCTGCTCATATTGTGCTGTCACGAGTTTAACAGCTTGGCCGACAGGGCAGGACTCGAGTCAAAGCTAGCCATTCGACTGTTCAATAATTTGTTCCCTCTCTAGTACGATACAGAGAATATGTATAATTAGCATGTCGGGTACCTCATTTTTGGACAGACCGCTCCTCAAAGTCAGTCGACCTGTGGCTGCTTGCTCAAGATGTCGAACGGCCAAAATCAAATGTGACGGGAAGCTTCCGGCCTGCTCGGCATGCGAACGGGTTGGTAAAGCGAGCACCTGCTCTGGCGCAAGTGACGAATTTGCCAGAGGAAAAGAAAGAAGCTATGTCGCCTCTTTGGAAGGCTACTGCGAAAGACTGGAAAAGAAAATTGCAGATCTTCGTCGCCTGAAATCATCATTATCTGTGGATGAAAGGGGTGTCGCCCATCAAAGTTCAATCACATCTATCTCCTCAGCAGGTACTGTCGCACAGGAAGGTGGCAAAGAAGTCACTGACATCGATGACCTCGTGGGTGATTTTGGCTTCTTGTAAGTTGTCGCTGGGGCTAGCTTGATGTTCCTGGGGCTGACATTGATCAGGTCTGTCAATGCGACTTCGAGAGACTTCCATGGGATTACTTCGAATACTTCTTTCGCCAACCTTCTTCTGTCCCTGTCACAAGCCGAGTCAATACCAAGACTACCGGCGCAGTCATTACCGCCGCGCAATGAAATACTGCACTTACTACAACATTATTTCGACAACATCTACATACAGCTTCCATTCTTCGTCGAAACGAGCTTCTGGACCTCTGTAGATGCGGTCTACCAAGCTGGGGGGCGCTTTGCCAAGCCTTTTGACAAGTGGATCTTGCATATGGTCTTAGCCACTGCGTCTGCGTCTATGTCCCTCAAAATCGGCGATAGCAGTCATCGCAGAGCGTTATCTCATATTTCAATGGCAATGGCCCAAGCCGAGGACGTCATCCGCCCCGGTACTATAGCCGGTATCCAGTCAATCCTACTACTTGCCCAATATTCCTTGTTCGACCCCCAACATTTTCGCAGCTGGTACCTGGTAGGGATGGCTGTTAGAGCGGTGGTCGACCTAGGCCTACACCAGGACCCGCCTTTGGATGTTCAGTCAGCCTCAGAGCAGCTGGACCTGCGCCGCCGTGTTTTCCATTGTGTTTACTGCTTGGACAGGTGTGTTGAATGATTCCAGACCCGTACTAGATAGTATGAGCTAACGAAGGAACTCAATCTCGCTTCTGAAGAGGAATAAGCACTGCCTTTGAAAGAACCTTCTCGTTTTCAGACGAGTCCGTCGATGTTGCTTTGCCGTCTTCTGCCACATCCTTAGGGGCTTCGCTAACCGAGAAGAGCCATATATTCTTACGGAGCTCGGAGCCTGCGTGGCACATTGTCAGAATCCGCCAGATACTGTCTGAGGGCTACCAGAGAAAATATTTCCACGAACACGAGACTTCTTTTCAAGCTCCGGCCTCGACGTGGGCTCTCTGCTCAAAAGCATATGAGTGGTTTGGTAAAATCCCAAGTAATATACCAAATCACTTCCCTATCCTGTACCGGTTGGAGTTATCATACACGATCGTCGTGATTCTTTCTGCCGGCGACGAACAGACCGCACTGTGTGATTACAGCAAAATTGTTCTGTTCCATTGCTGCATGCAGTACATTAACGAGCTTTATGAGGTGCTGAAAACCCCTACCTGGTTGCCTTTGATGACCTTCCTGGATATCCAGAGGACGTACCAAGTTGGTCGACGATTCATACGAGATGTAACAGAGAACCAGGACCTTCTCTTGGACCCGTCGATACCCGCATTACCCCCCATCCCTCCGGAGACCCCGGAACAGCTGATTTTGAGTGGTGAAGATTGTATGAGCTTTTACGCGCGCGCCTCGGAATGTCTTTTGCAGATCAATAATCTCCTCCAATATGGTGCAAGCAAGTGGGGAGCGACCGGTATATTTGGAGAATTCCAGCAAATGTCCGAACCCGCTCGGAGCCGTCTTTTACATGCATCGAACCCATACCTGGCCGGTTCTACAGCCTATATGGCTGGCTACTCTACGATGGTGCCTGCAGGAACAGGATACCTAGGCTTTGACATTGGATAAATTGGCTCTCGGCGAGGGCCAAGGCAAGGGATGTCTGCTTCATGAGTCTCCAATAATGCCTTATTTCATGCCCCTGTGTTTTGGTAATATTGTATATGGTTTTTTCTTTTTGGTGTGGTTGCACATGTTATATGTGAGCGAGGTGATGTCGGATAACGATAGTACTCGGAGAAAAAGTGACCTTACCCTCTATGTGTATTGTATCTTGATTTCCTTTCTTCTTCATCTCTTACTCTTGGGATGCCTTCAGAGGTTGCATGTACTTGAATGACAGTCGTTAGCAGGGAGAACTTGGGCAGGCCCTCTGAGAGTCTCCCGGATGCGGATAGAGCTGCAAGGGATGCGAGCAGCCACACCAAAAGGGCCGATCGCGTCGGGCCATGTGGGCTAGCATCTCTCCGCTTTCCCCCAAAGCATTCGAGAAAATGCATGGGAACATCAACCTCCGTACTCGGTGTACGTAGCTCGGGATTTGATCGTAAGCGATGCTGGCGCCCACCCATTGATCTACCGGCCAATTGTTCATTGGAGAGGAAGACCTAGAGTGTGGCTGGTGAAGATCGGAGCCAGTTGACCGCACTTATAAGCTTACGGTAGTACAGCTAGCAAGCTAGTCACTATATACTCCGTAGGTCCAGAGTAGTAGGAGAGGAAAAGAAAGACTAAATGGGCTAGAAGACACGCGTTAAGTACACGCTTGGAATACTGAGATTTTTCTCTGGAGCCCTCCCTTACTTCTCGAGCCTTCTTGGAAACCCGTCCCTTTTTCACCATGGAAACTTGTTCCCAAATTTAGCACCAGGCACCGCACTCATACCGTAGCAGCGAAGTGAATAAAATACATCGATACAAACAATGTAAAGTAGATATTCGAAAGGCAGAGAGACAGAAGCGAGAAGAGAAAGACTACTCGTGACGTCACAGTGATGCGTCGCGGACAGTCAATCAGTCGATCTTATTACACTGCTTTTTCCCTACTAAAAGCAGTGTAGGTATTTACTTTTACTAGGGAAGTACTAGTAGTCCTTTTGCACTTTGCACTAAGTCGCAATGGAGGGTGGGCAAATACCCACACGAGTCCACAGTCACCCCCATAAGGCAGAAGAAGCTTAAGCTTGCTTTTTTCCTCCTCCAAGGCTGCTGATGAGTAAAATGTATTTCCGCGTTACTTTGAAAAGGAAAAGAATGTTTTCTTTGATATCAGGCCATGGGAAGGGACCCGCTTTCTCTTGCTTATTTTTGTCTTTTCATCAATTAGATTTTGGGTATGCTATTGTTGATGGGATCAACTTGTTGAGCGCCCGTTAAAAGTTAAGCTACCAGCACCTTAGGGATGGGATGGGATGATCTATCTATGTATAATTACGGAGGAGTAGCACCAATTCTCCTGACGTGGATGGATCACATGTTCTGGTTAAGACGATTCCATGGCTCTCGAGTCCCATTGCTTCTTCTTCTCTCTCCATTAGCTAAGAACACTACAGCTGGCTCAGCCCGACGACTCGTTAAAAGGGCTGAAGTAGGGAGTCGTAGGGATGATCCGCGCAACATCCAGGCTCGTAGCGCCGATCGTGAGTGGATGGCGGGCCAGATCTTTGAGCTGGCGCGTCCGCCCTTGACTTCATCGCTCGGCGCGATGATGATCTCATCGTCGTACAAACTCAATCCTCCTTTCTTCCCACACCCTATGCTGTTTATCTGGACTAAATCGTTTTTTCAGGAACCAGACACAACCCGGACTTCACCTTTGCCTGTTCTGTTCGTCACCAACGACACCATGACGTCAAGCAGGTGCGCTGGCCCAAACTGGCAGGCACCACCCGTGCCATTACGCTCCTGTCCTTTCGCTGCATGCGTCCAGTTGTATTTAAATCCGTAGAAAACTTCGTCGTCGTCGTAGTAGTTCCTTCCCTTCCCTTGATCCACTCGTCGTTTCAATTGATACCACGATTTCTTTCGGCGTACATTCTTCCTCCCCCCTTCCTACTACTAGTTACACTACTACACTGCACTTACTACCATTGTCAACCTAATACCCCATCCGTCCTCGGCGTCCTTCATTCCGGAGATACCCAGCGACGCGACTCTTTTTTTTTTCATCCCTTGTTTGCAGTCTCGAAGTGAAGATCAGCCTTGTCGTCTGCTTATCGACTTTGTCGTGCACTTTATCTTACCTTGTTTAATCTGTTCTGTCTGTCTTCCCAGATACCTAACCCCGGATCTTGGCCAGACGCCCCGAATCTGCTGGCCAGTGGTCCCCCTTGCGACTGCCGACTTTCTCCCACATACATACACTTAAAACAAGAAAACTCTCTTGCTTGGCCTTTGAGCCTCGTAGACGTCAATTCTAGCCAGTCAATCTGGTCATCTTGCCGCAATGTCGTCCAAAGCAGTCAATCATCCGCTGAACACCAAGCAGAAGGAACAGGTATTATACCCTCTCATTCTTCTCGAAAGCTGGAGGTAAGGACGCTAACCCGAATCTCGCTCCAGGATATCAACCAGAAGCTGCAGCTTTATGGAATCTATCAAGGTAAATCAATAAAATTGATCGTGTATTAGCATATCTTGTGCTAATAGAGCCATGTAGCCTTCAAGAATGGCAAGCTTCCATCGGTGAGTGCAAGGTCTCAATTATCAAATTTGTGCTGCCTACTGACAATGGTATCATTCTTCTTAGAACAAACAATGCGACGTTGCCCTGAACAGTGCTCTCAAATCCAAGGCTCTTTCGTCGCCGTCCCAGGAGCTGTCTGGTGAAGGCCAGACCCTCGTCCAGGATCTCCGTAACGTTATCGAACATGCCAAGAAGCTTATGCTGAGCAAGAATGAGGGTCAGCTCTTGCAGGAGTTCCTGTGGGAGGCACAGACTGTCTCGTCCGGGGATACAGAGAAGCCAGGTGTGCCTGTGACAAAGGATGCGGCCCAGCAGGACGGTCAGGAAGCCTTGGAGGGTCTCAAGACCCTTGGAAGGCTCCTGATCACGAACGGAGAATTCCGAAAACTATGTAAGTTCATGTGCATCTTGACCGCAAACATGAAACCTGACATTACCGTCCAGTAAATGATGCTATGACATTGGCACGTGATATGGCTGGCGACGTCTCCCAGAAGGCCGCAAACAAGCTGAGGCCATCAGAGGAACAACTTTCCCAGATTGATGAGCCAGCTGAAGAGAACGTGTGGCATGAGCAGCCTGATTTCTCCAAGCACAAGGAAACATTCAAGTCTCGCTTTAAGAGAAACAAGGACGTGAGTTTTTTTCTGAGTCAGTATTGCCATACCAATTGACTTACATATGGACAGGAGGGTAAGCAGGAAGTCGCTGGTACTGCAGCTCAGGCTGCCACGGGTGGCCAAGAACCTTCATCCGTCTCTGATGTCGACGCGCGCGCTGGTCTTGCTGCAGGTGCAGGTAGAGCCCAGGACAAGATTTCGGAGAATGTCCCTGAAGAGGCAAAGGGCCGTACTCGTGAATACAAGGACAGGACCAAGAGCTACTTGTCCGAAAAGGTGCCCCAAGAGCGACGGGATCAGACTATTTGGCGCTTGAAGAAGATGGTCATCGAGATTCAAGGCCATTCTGATTGTAAGTTATCCTTCAACGACATGGGCCCATAGACGGTCGACTGACTGTGAAACAGACCAACAGGCAATCCGAACCCTTCTTTCGATGGCTGAAAAGTATGGTTCCCACGGACGGAACTTGTCCCAGCAGGGTGCTGGTTCAGTCCAGGGCTTCCGAAGCGGCGATAAGATCCAGCGAATGGAGGCCAATCTTCGGGTACGTCAGTCAGTCTTGTCGGATAAGCAGTCACTAACCCCCTCTGACCAGACATTGATTGAACGCTTTGCCAACCACACGTCCCTGGACAATCTATTTGACTCACTGGACAACATCTACCGAGATGCAGACAGGGACCCTGAGCTGAAAGGATGGTTCAGAAACATGGACACCTTCATCCGGTCAGTATTCGAGTGCAAAAGGAACCTAGGCGGTGTGCTAATCATTTCACAGGAAAACCCTAACCGAGCAAGGCTATATTATGGATGATGATTGCAATCGCCAGTGGGACCAACTCACTGACCATGGCCGCTACCTCCTGCGTGAGCGCTACAGGGACCATACCGATCGCATTCTTGATGAGCTTAAGTTCCTTGGCGATCAGTTCAACCAGGACCCTCAAAACAAGGCATTTGGGGATGCGATGCAGAAGCTCTTCGATGATCTTGGACGCGACAACAGCGGCAACATGGCCTTCAAGAAGCATCTCGTCAAGGACATTAGGGATGTTATCCTACCTGAAGTTCTCGAAAATGTCCGCTATGTCCCCGTTCCTCGTATCGAAGTGTCTGATCCCGCGGCCGATGTCGTAAGTATACCTGAGTTGTCTTAGGCTGAGTTCGTGGCTAACGATTGAAAGGTTGTGGAAAACCTCGTCATTGAGAGCGATAACTTGATGCCGAACGTCGTGGAATTTGGCAGCGACAACTACTTCCGGTGGGGACGCAAGAAGATCAGCAGTAAGAGGGACAACAAGGTTGGTTGACTCTGTCAAGATTGTTTAGGGGACTAATACTGACGATGTGCCCAAAGATTATGATCTCGGTGTCTGGAATTCAAGCCGATCTTCGAGGTGAGTTTGTTATCTTAAGTTGTCGTCGTTCGGTCTGAAACTTTTACTGACACTACTTCCAACAGATGTGAGCTACTATGTCAACAAGAAGCAGGGATTCCCTGCTATCACGGACACGGGTATCATGGACATCTTCTTGGGTGGCGAAGGCTTTGGATTCAAGATTGCAGCCTCCACTGCTCAGAAGGAAGACCGACAGAACTTCATCAAATTGGACAAGGTGACTGTGAAGATTGACTCCCTCAACGTCAAGTTGAAGAAGTCAAAGCACAAGACCCTGTTCACGGTCTTCAAGCCATTGTTGTTCCGGGTCGTCCGTCCAACCCTGGAAAAGGTACTCGAGCAGCAGATCCGGGACGCTTTCGCCAAGGGAGATGCCTTTGCCTACGAAATCCACAGTGAGGCAAAGAAGGCACAGGAGGCTAGTAGCCAGGATCCCGCCAACGCGCCCAACATCTACTCCCGCTATCTTGATGCCTTCCGTGCCAGAAATGAGGACAAGAAGCGGAAGGCGCAAGAGATTGCCAAACGAGACACTAAGGTGCAGACAGCTACAACTCTGCATGATTCCCTCTTCCCCGAAATCAAGCTTCCTGGCGGCATCAGTACCAAGGCCACTGAGTACAAGGAACTTGCCATGAAGGGTGAACGCTGGGAATCTCCCATCTTCAGCATTGGTAGCGCCTCGGAATCTTCTGATATTCCCAAGGCGGGTGACATTTCTCGCAAACGGGAATCACCTGCCGAAAAGGGTGGTGCTAATGGAGTAACCAATGGAGGCGCCACAAACGGCAGAGTCACGAATGTTAATCAGACCAATGGAGGTGTCACCAATGGGACTACCGCTATCACCCAAAATGAGAAAGTGACCAACGGAGGTGCGCAGCCTATGGATGGTCGAGTGACCAATGGCAAGCACGCTATTTCTGGGACCAATGGACATATTAATGGACACTCCAAGACATATGACCATGCGGCTGCGTCCCAGAAATTCTCCGATGAAGTCAACCAAGCGTTCAGTGACGGCAACGTTGGCGGTGGTACTCGCACCACGGTTCCAGGCGTCGAAACGGCCTTCAACCCTCAGACCGCTTAGGTCAGTCGTCTGGAGGGATTGTAGGGTTCAACATGCTCATACACGCAGCCAAATATCTCTTTTGTCATTGTTCTATTCTGCCTGTACTGTTTTTGATACCTTGTGACGTTGTGTCTTTTTCATTTGTTATACGAACTTAATGCTTCACTTATCAGCACAAGTGTGTTAGTAGTTAATGATTAATTCATTGTGATATCCTGCGATATGTTCGGACGAGATTTACAACAGCTATGATAGATTGTAGCTGTATAATGTATAAGCAGTAAGTATTAGCCTTGCTCATTATGATAACACAAGCAAGCATGGAGCATTATTTTCAGGAAAACCAGATCATTACCCCTCGTATTTAAGACTTGCTTCTAGACTCTATATAATTTCAACCCATTTTAATAACTTGACCCATTCATTCATAACATCCATTACATTTGCTCAAAGTACTTTTCCCAACCAAGCTCGCGCAGCTTAGTACCCTTCAGCTCCATGTTCTCAGCGCGAGCGCTCTCCGCATACGCCTCAACCTTGCGCTGGATAGCCGGGTCGAAAGCACCGAGGATACGGGCGGCCAGGAGGGCAGCATTGATGCTGTTGTTGATGCCGACGGTGGCGACAGGGACACCTGAGAAATGAGGACATGTTGTCAGCTTGGATGCATGCGACATATGTGATATGCAGTATAGAATGTATGTGCATGTTGTGATGTTATGCATGTCATGCAGGAGTAGTACATGTGAAAGGTGACGGACATGGAATTGAAGGGATAGGTGTTAAAGGGAAAGAGAAGGAAAAGGAAAAGGAAAGGGAAAGGGAAAGACTCACCCCTAGGCATCTGCACAATGCTGTACAGACTATCGACTCCGTCCAAAGAGCTACCCTTAACCGGGACACCGATCACCGGCAGCGCGGTATGAGCGGCAGACATACCGGGGAGGTGAGCGGCACCGCCAGCGGCAGCAATGATGACCTTGATGCCACGGGCCGCGGCATTGGCAGAGTACTCGGCCATGTAGGTGGGGGTGCGATGAGCGGAGGTGATTTCCACGTCGGGTTCAACGCCGAAGTAGTCGCGCAGGAGCTTGAGACCGGGGACCAGGGTCTTGAGGTCACTGTCGGAGCCCATGATGACGGCGACGGAGGGGGCGGGCTTGGAGACGCCGGACTTCTGGGGCTTGGAGCGGACGTCGCTGCGCTGGGAGCGGATGTCGTCGACGACGTCGATGAGAGGCTGGATGTGGGATTCGGCTTCGTGCATGGTCGGGGCGGTGACGGTGACGTGACCCATCTTGCGGCCGGGTTTGGCGGCGCCCTTGCTGTAGAGGTGGATGCTGGCGTTGGGAATGGAGAGGGCCGCTTCGGCGGCCTTGAGGTGGGTGTCCGGGGCGGAGCCGCCGATGATGTTCAGCATGATGGAGGGTTGGCGGATTTGGAGACTCTGAGGGGGGATGGGGAGGTCGAGGATGGCGCGGATGTGGGCTTCGAATTGAGACATGGGGCAGCCTTCGATGGTGTAGTGGCCCGAGTTGTGGATACGGCTGGCGATCTCGCACAGGAGAAGGCTGTCGTCTTCCAGGAGGAACATCTCCACGCCGAAGACACCCTTGCCTTCGAACGCGGAGACGGCTTTCCGGGCCAATTCTTGCGCTTTGCGGTTGATGGCGTCGGAGACGTTGCGGGCGGGGGCGTAGACGAGCTTGCAGATGGAGTCTTCTTGAACGGTTTCAACGGTGGGGTAGGAGAGGACTTCGTCCTTGGTCTTCACGACCATGACGGCGAGTTCCTGTGATATGGGGTGTTAGATGGTGGTGGTGGGTCATTCGGTGTGGAGGTGGGGGGTGGGACATACCATCTTGAAGTAGGCCCATTTCTCGGCATAAAGAGGACGACCCTTGAGGAACTCGAGGGCTTCGGGGATATCGTGTGCACCGCGCACGTGGAAGTTACCTAGTAAATGAAGGATTTAGGTTAGTGGTGGTTGGTTGGGGATATTAGAAGAGCAATTGGGGCACGGGTGACTCACCACGTCCATCGTAGGCCATGGTCTTCGACTTCAGCATCAAGGGGTAGCCAAGTTCCTCGCCGACCTTGGCCAATGCCTCGGGGGTATTCTCGGCGAGCTCGCGGTGCTCAGCCATGGGGATGCCATATTTGCGGAGGTGTTCCTTCTGGTTGTACTTGTTCTGGATGGTGCGGATGGCCTGCCAACTGGGCTCAATGCGGACCTGCGAGGCAATCTCCTCCAGGGCATAAGTATCGACGTGCTCAATCTCAGCAGTCACGACGTCGCAGGACTTGGCCAATTCGCGGACGGCTTCGCGCTCCTTGAAGGAGCCGGTGACATGGTCATCGTGGGAGCTAATCTGCTTGGCCGGGGAGTTCTCCGCATCAAGAACGTTGCACTGGATGTTGAGGCGGTTGGCCGATTCGACCAGCATACGGCCCAATTGGCCTCCACCGAGGATTCCCACCTTGCGGGAGTTCCACATATTGAGATTAAGGGAATGTAAAAGAATAGGGAGGGTATAAAAAAAAAGGAGATGGACAGGCACCAACACGCACCAAGCAGAGGGGGGAGATCTGGGGAAGAGAAAAGCAGCCCCTCCACGGCGGAGCAAAAAATCCGCCCGATAACCATCACGTGCACCAGTGATAAGCGGCTGGCGGACCCAATCAGAGCCTGCGGTTGCCGGGGGAGCCGCCGTCCCCGCGTGTCCAGATCGAGCCATGTCAATTCCGCCCGTCATTTGCTGCTCTTCCTCTGCATATCCCCTATTGGCCTTGTCGCATTTCACTTCGCTGGGCGCAGAAGTGCTGGATCATGTCGCTGGGTAAGTCTGAATCTACTGTCATTCCTGGAACCGAACTGCAATGCTGCTTTCGTGCTTAGCGTGACCTGCGCCATTTGCTTTCATTCCACAATGAGCTTGTCAGGCACCGCTTCAAGCTCCATCCAGCTAACTCAACATGCAATCGCAGACGAAGAAAGCCTCGAGGCAGTCGCCAATGGCGGTACGATGGACTAGTATGTCAACTCGCGCCCCAACCAAGCATCAACAGTACAATCGGAGCTGACGTGCCCCGTTTCCTCCAGTGAGAAATGGCCCAGCATGGTCGAACCCCTGCTTGAACGATTGGAATATGTGCGCAAACCCTTACCACCCACCAAACCAATCACCAACTAATAAATCTTTCCCACTAGATCATATACAACGTCTTCCCAATGCCTCGGATCCCTCCCGACCTTCAACAGCAGTCTGCTAATCCCATCGTCCCCACAATCACACCATCTACAACCCTCCAGACCTCCACACAGCCTGAACCATCATCGCAGCAATCCACCGCAACCGAGCGTATCCCCGACTCCCAACCCCAGTCCTCGCAGGGCTCCTCTCTTCCCGAACCCCTTCAACATCACCTAAACTCCATCAAATCCACCTTGCGATCCCTCTTCGCTTCAAAACCACCACACACTATCCAACGTCTCGCAGAACTCATCGCTCGTCCTACAGCCCACTACCGCACCCTTCCCGCATATCTTCGCGCCGTCGACCGCGTCGTTTGCGTCACTAGCAGCGCGGAAATCTTCCCTCTCCACTCGACACACCATGGCGCTGCTCCCCAGCCCAACGGCGCGATCATCAACGGCGCCGATACCGGCCTCCTATTCCCGGACCATACACTCGGCAGCGATGAGTCTCTAGGTGGAGCACTTCTCACGCCGATCCCGTGGTTGAGTAACGATCCTTCGTCGCCGGAACATGAGGGTGAAAGCGGTGCACTTATGGGAGATACTGGTTTCACTACCCAGGTAGTGGCGTCTACTGGCGCTGAGCAAGAACATCAGCAGCTGGGGTCTGTTACTACTACCGAGACGGTGACGGTAGTGACGGCGGACACGAATGGAAATGAAGGAACGAGTGAAGCTCCGTCGGCTGAAACATTGGAAGATATTCCGCATGCCAGAGGCCCCTCTGTAGTCGGAGTGGAAGATCTAGGCTTACAGGATGGTAGGGGCGTGGAGATGGACCTCTCGAGTGTCGCTGAGGAGGCGCCAGGACTGCATACTGCGGGACAGGAGACTTCCCAGCCGCAGCAGCAGCAGCAGGAGCAAGAGCAAGGACAGCAGCAACAAGAACAGCAGCAGACCACTAGTCAAACCGGAGAAGAAGATGCTAAGCCGACGGCAGATGGAGACGGAGATATCTCTCTAGACGATGTCAAAGCACCGGAGGAAAACGCTTCAGTATCTGAGACGGCGGATAAAGAGCAGCAGCAGCAGCAGCAGCAACAGCAGGCGTAGCTTTTGGGACGTCGTATGATATGATATTCATATTCTATTAGCGTGTCGTGCGTTGTCTTGTCGCGCATTACATTCCTTTTTTTGGGACTCTGCCTGCTAGCTAGCTTACATTGTTAAATCATGATTGATGACTTGACTTTGACTGTAGTTGTCATGAACCATGCTTCTCAATCAGTTACTACTACTGACAGTCAGTATGCTTGCATAACTACTAAAGTGCGAATGTAATATTCATATCCAAACTTGATCCGATTGAGTTTCATATACTGTGTATGTAGAAACATTCAACATGACAGCACATCACAATCCATCATGAACACAAAATCCAGTCAACAGATATAGTAGATAGATAGCATGCATATATTCATCATTAGGAGGTCATAACATCCTTAAAACACCAATCATGCAATAGAGATATAGATATATAATAACTCCAACAGATAGATTATTCATTATCAAAATCCGAAAAAGGGATAAAAAAAAAGGAAATAGATCAAGCCGGTGGCTCCACCGTCTGAAGAGGAACATAAAGTCCCTCATCAGCATTCGAGCCTCTCCTCTTTCTACCCGTCACGGCCGACCACGTATCAGAGACGAATTCCCGAACCCAGGAGGATGAGGATGAGCGTCTGTGGGAACTGGATCCAGTGACTGATAGCGTGGCTTCCCACCAGCTCTTCTTGGAGGCATTGAAGCTGCCGTTGGATGATGAGTCAATCTCCTTTTGTAGCTTTTCGGCATCCATCCAGCCCGGTCTCCGCCAGAATTTGAGGAGCAGGCTGCTCACGACAACGGAGACGCTGGATAGAGCCATTGCGGCGCCGGCGGCCATCGGGGGTAGCATGAATCCGAATGGGAGGAAGAGACCCATTGCGAAGGGGAGACCGATGACGTTGTAGAGGCAGGCCCACATGAGGTTGAGCTTGATGCGGTTGAAGACTGAGCGGGAGAGGGAGAGGCTTGCGGGTACGGAGAGGAGGTCGTCGGGTCGCATGAGTACGATGTCTGCTGCTTCGACGGCCACGTCGGTGCCTGAGGCGAGGGCGATGCCTACGGATGCGGTGGCTAGGGCGGGAGAGTCGTTGATGCCGTCGCCGACCATGGCGACTCGGTCGCCGGAGTCTTGCATCGAGGCGACGATAGATTGTTTTTCGGAGGGGGAGACAGAGGCGTGGACTGCCTCTGTTGGGATTCCCACTGCAGAGGCGATTGAAATGGCGGTGGCGTAGGCATCACCGGTGATAAGGGAGGTTGTGATTCCCATACGGTGGAGGGCGGCGACGGCTGCTGGTGCGGTCACCTTCACGGTGTCCCGGAGCAAGATGGACCCTGCATAGTGGCCATCGATGGCGACGTGGATTTGAGTGATACCGGCAGGAACCTTGGACTTGGGGGTGATGTCGGAGTCGTCTGGTTCCGCTGATTCAGGGACGGGGACGTCCCTTGATCGCAGGAAAGCAAGGTTTCCAACCAGGACACGGTACCGGATACGCTCTGCACTGGATGTCGGCTCGACCAAGGCGGAGATTCCCTTGCCGACGCAGGCTTCAAGGTCACCCAAGCTGCCGGGCAGGCCATCGCCTGGATGACCGGATTCGGATTGAGCAGCGGAGAAGATGGCCCTTCCGATGGGGTGTTCGCTGCTCATTTCTGCAAGACCGACGATCAACCACCAGAGTCTGCGGCGCCAGTCGTTAGATGACCAATGTGGCTCGATCTTAGCTTCAGCAACACTCATTTTGCCGGTGGTCAATGTTCCGGTCTTATCGAACACGACGTGGTTGATCTTGGTAGCAGCTTCGAGGACAGCGCCGCCCTTGACAAGGATGCCCTGCTGCGCACCAACTCCAGTGCCGACCATGACAGCTGTAGGTGTGCTGAGACCGAGAGCACAGGGGCAGGCGAAGACAATAACCGAGATGCAAAGCTTGAGACAGACCATGAACTTGCCTCCGTTATTTTCAGACAAGAAGATCTTGGGAGGGTGAGGTAGGATATGGCTCATGAACATCCAGCCGAAAAATGTTACTAGACCCAGACTGATGATAGCTGGAACGAAGTAGCCCGCAACAACATCGGCCATGCGTTGGATCGGAGCCCGGCTAGTTTGAGCATCTTGAACCAACTTGACAATCTGGCTCAGCTGAGTGTCCTTGCCAGCTCGAGTAACCTTGAAGTCCATGGAGCTAGTGCCGTTGACTGTGCCAGCAATGACAACACTACCCTTGGCCTTGTGGATTGGCAAAGCTTCACCAGTTATCATACTCTCATCGACATAGCTTTCACCGCGAATGACAACGCCATCAGCCGGTACTTTATCACCAGGGTGAAGGAGCACAACATCCCCTAGCTCGATGAGCTCCGTTGGGATTATCTTCTGCCCTGGCCCTGCGCGCTCCTCGGTGGCCGAGGTGTGCTCCTTGGGCTTTTCGTTAGGATTTCCCCATTCCTCGGCGAGCTTCTCCGCCGCTATCGGGTCGTCGTAAATAGTAGTCATTGACGGTGCAAGGGACATGAGCCGGGAGAGCGCGGCAGAGGTTTGACCCTTGGCCCGATTCTCCAGCCATCTTCCGAGAGTAATAAAGGTTATAAGCATCGTGCTTGTATCGAAGACTGTACTTGGGCGAATATCATTCACCGAAAGTAACGAAACAACCATGGTAAACACACTGTAGAAAAATGCAGCAGAGGTACCAAGCATAACGAGAACGTCCATGGTCGGTGAGCGATGTTTCAAGGATTTGTAACTGGCTACGTAGAAACGCTTTCCAATGCCAAATTGCACCGGAATAGTGAGCAGAAGACAGGCAACATCACCAAGGTAGAGACCGGAACATAATCTAACACGGCCGAAATCAAGAACCGGAAGATACATCGGCAGTAGCATATTGATCAGGAACACGGGGACTGCAAACGAAGCAGAAAAGAGGAACGAGCGCTTCCATTCCCGAACCTCCTTGGTTTTGGACAGCGATTCCAGCTGCGCATTGGTATCATCTGACTGCGACAGGAGGGCATTGTATCCGGCCTTTTCGATCGCTTCGACGATCGAACGAATACCAATCTTGGAGGATTCGTATGACAATGTGATTTGAGAGTTGGCCATATTTACAGACGCCGATGAGATCCCGGGGTTCTGAAGTAGCGTGTCTTCCAAGGCCGAGGCCGAGGCAGCGTCGCGCAAGCCGTGGAGGCTGAGAGTGACACGGCCGAGGCCTTTGGATGTAGGCGCCTGTGCTTCCGATGAAAGGACGGTGGTGTCGAAACCGGCATCGTCGATTATGCTGACAATTTGTTTCGTGGTAAGGGTCGTAGGGTCGTGAGTGATAATCGCACGCTCGGCTAGCAAGCTAATGTTGAATTGCACTACACCGTCCACCCCGCTGAAGGCATTCTGTATACTCGACGTACAAGCACCACACGTCATACCATCTATAGACACTTTCGTGACCATCAACCCCGATGCAGAGCCCGACAAATCCTCCGAGGTGCGGACAGCGCTCTCCTCCGTCGAGGTTTCCAGCACCTTTGCGCCAAACCCACGATCCTCGATAATCTCTGCAATCTGGTCGGGCGTAACGAGAGATGGGTCATGCTCCACGACCGCTCGTTCGGAAAGCAGAGATACATTGACTGAATGCACACCAGGTGTATCCTTCAATCCTCCCTCCACCGCGGAGGTGCAAGCACCGCATGTCATGCCCTCGACCGCCAACGTCGTGGTTGACAGCTGAAACACTTTATCCCTGGCCCCGCGGGAACCATCCGCCGGCGTAGACGCACTATCCGTAGAGACGATCGTTGCATCAAAGCCGCAGTCCTCGATAATTTCGGCGACTTTCTCCGCAGGAAGCAGGGTTGGGTCATGATGGACTACAGCCCGGCCCATCATCAAGCTGACGGTCACCTCGCCAGCACCCTCCACCCCCTTGAAGGCGCCCTCGACGGCGGAGGTGCAAGCGCCGCATGTCATTCCCTCGACGTTGACTGTTGTGGTCGCCATATGGGCTGCTGATCGGTCGGAAGGAGCGCCATCGGTGCCGGCGCCTAACAGAGCGGAGGATGAGGCCGCCATGTTGCGCCGAGTTGCTGCAGAAGCCGGACAAGGACGGTCGGGACGCGCGGGTGGTGTGTTAATGCATGCGTTCGTTTGGGAAGAGGGGGACGAGGAGGTCGGGGGAGATAATAAAAGGAAGGGAGGGGAAAGGAATAATAAGCAGGAAAATGCTAGTAACACGCAAGGGTCGTTCGATTTAGAGACATTCGGACCGGATGCGACGGAAAGGATACGCCGAGCCTTTTAAACATGCAGCAATTAATTACATCAAGGACACTACTAAGACAAGAACTACTTACTTTCACTACGGATGGTACGGGAGCTGAAATGGGGGTTTTTGCACGGGAAGAAACCTAATCTTAGGCCACCCACAAAGAGCGTGGGATGGGAAGAAAGAATGGTAAACAGCAGGTAATACTAAGAGGTCCAAGACATTCCAGGCGGCGGGAATCCCATTCAACCACAGACTAAGATTAGATCGAGTCTGGAGGAATGATGCCAGGCGCATCCCAACCCACCGCGACGATGGCGCTAACAGAAAAATACGCAGTGGATGGCGTCAGGTTGTCTCCGCCGCCCCGCGGACTTACGTGAGTTTTTCTTCTCTAAATCGGGCAACATTGCCGCTTCAGGGCATTTGGAAGGCTGGGGCCACTTGCTTGCTCTCGGGGGACCACTCGTAGTATACTTACTGTAGAGGTAGGTATTGAACTCAGTACTCAATACCGTGTTCATGGTTCGTTCACCTTTCGGATGAACTTTTCGGTATGTGCGAGTCAAAATCTACTATGCAGTAATATTGTCAATAAGATCGCATAGTATCAGCTGAGCTGTCCGTTCCAGCTCAATAAGCCACCCACGCATGCACTAGCACTTATCTATCTGGCCTGTACTACCCATCTAACGGTTGCTTATCTGTCCTGCACACGGGCTCTGGTGTGAACCCTCTCCATGAAGGGATATACCCAGACCTTTCGCCCAGACTGCCAGGGAAATGACCACGTCTGATGCTGCGACACGAGAAGCATCATGCTTATTATATGCTCCATCCTAGTAGCAGCTGTCATGGGATATCAAACTCAGACAAGGACTGAAGGGTCTGGGGGTGAAACACTTGGCACCGAACCGGCTTCGTTTCGATTATATGGAAAGTAGCCGACTAGGTGAGTTGAAAGACGGACTTGTCTGTAGTAAATCAACTGTAATATAGCTAGCAGTGAGGTGATTAATCCTTTACAGCCATCATGAGCAGAGTCATCAACCGAAATGGAAGCCGACAATGTCATTGATTCCAGAAGACAAGATCACCATTTAAACATACAATTGAATGTCATTGTTTGCATCTAATGCAAACACAGGGCGAGACATCATTGCTCCTCCCATACCATCATACTAATCACTTTCACCATCGACAACATCAGCACCACTACCACCCTCCACAGTACCACAACTAATGGAACACTCATCACCATAATCCGCACAGTGATACACATACCCACCTACAACCTCAATCCACCTTACCAACCGAACCCCCCAAACTGTCCACACACCCCCTCATCCTCACCTCACAACCACCAACAACACCACCACAAAATGGACCAAATACACACCCGGGCCCTCGAAGCCCTCCAACCATTCATCCACCTCGCCACCGCCAACAGCGCGACCTCCCCACGCTTCATCACGAACCTAATCACCAACGCAACCTCCAACCCAAACACCTACGTATTCGCCGAACTTCTCACCACCCCAGCCATTCAATCCCTCCGGGACCCCAACACCCCAGCCGAATATGCAAGCTACCTGACTCTGCTAGAGATCTTCGCCTGGGGCACATGGCAAGACTACCAATGTAAGCCTTTCTCCCTCGAACTCCCACCTCTTCCGACGTAATAATGTCCTTTGACTAAACCGCAACAGCAACACCCAACCTCCCGCCCCTCAACGACGCCCAAACCCTCAAACTCCGACTCCTCTCCCTCCTCACCCTCTCAACAACCACCACCCCCCTAACCTACAGCTCCCTCATGACGGCCCTAAACATCACACAACCCTCGGAGCTGGAATCCCTCGTCACAAAAGCCATTTACGCCTCGCTGATCACCGCCCGGCTATCGCCCGCTTCCACCCCGCCTACTGTGAATGTCACTTCCGTGGCGCCGCTTCGGGACGTGAAGCCCCAGTCGCTGGGTAAGATGATCGATATTCTGACGGCGTGGGAGACGCGCTGCGGGGATGTGATTGGGGATATTGAGGCCGAGATATTGCGGATTAAGACGGAGTCGGCGAGACGGAGAGCGGAGGAGCGGGAGAAGGAGGTGTTGTTTGAAAAAGCGCTTGCTGGGTGGGGGGCTAAGATGGAGGAGAAGAAGGTCGGCGGGGGAGGAGGTGGTGGTGGGGGTTGGCAGCAGGGAGGTAGGGGTGGTGGGGTGATTGGGGGGAACAAGAGGGAGTTTGCGGCGGATGAGTTTGATGATGATGATGGATATTGGGAGCATGGACTTGAAGGAGGGGATGGGATGGGGGGCGGGGGATCTAGGATGGATATTGATGATGGGGCTGGAGTGAGGTTGGGTGGTGGTGGTAGTGGTGCTTCTTCGGGGCCGGCTAGACATCCTAAGCGGGTGTTGGGGAAGAAATCATAGTTATTTACCTACGGTAGTGGTCCTATTACTATAGGCGTGATTCCCATTACAGCGAATAGCATGGTAGCGTTTCGAGTCTTCGAAAGAATCTCCTATGTAATCTACGAGTATGCGAAACTGAACATGAAAGTTCATCTAGGTCCTGCTTAGAGTCCAACATAATATGGCATCAATATATCATAATAATAGAATCTAATTACCGTGGACTAACCACAACACCAAAGCCTCAGAGAAATCGTTTAACGTACATGCAAATCCAGCAGATGAGGGGTATTATGTAGAAAGGTAAATAAACAATGAAAGAAAAACCCAATATACACAGGGTGAAGGGTGTTGGTGAAATGAACGTCGTGACCCGACGGATCTGGTATATCACGCCAGTCCATGGATAGTTGGTAGGTATAAATCCCATATGCGATGGGACCAGAGGCATGAGCGGCCATCACTGGTGCTCCAAGCACTGGGTATCTGCCCCTTCTCATATTAAGAGAATCCCCGAGGTCATCGGGGAGGAAGAACTTCTCTCTGTATCCATGCGCTGAATTGGACCCAAGAAGCAAGATCGCTGGCTAACGCTCAGAAAGAATCAAGATGCACATATATGCTGCCCAAAAGCGGTATCACGCGGCCGTAGAAATTGAAACAGATTTCGAAATGGAAATCGGCAAGGGTATACGCAATATTACGGAGATTAGAGCATAGTACCGGGCACAAAGATGAACAGTATACTCAACGCTGCGGCGACAAAGAAGGCGATCATGGCCGTGGCCGTGGCCCGCTTGTTCAGCAATTTGCGCACGTATGGCTCGCGAATCGGCGACCAGTTCATGAACGTGTACTCGCTGTAGCCGAGGAACGCCATGACCGGGTCAATCTTGTACTGGTACGAGACGATGAAGTAAGAGGCAATGGCAAAAGGCAAGATCAACTGACTAGGTGTTAGTAGGATATCAGGCCTGTGGATATGTATAAGCTACTTACCCAGCAACGGATATGCCGTGGTTTATCCCGGAGGACCACGTAGAACGCGCCCCAGAAGCCTCCACCGAAGCTAATTAGGGCAAACGCGAGCCGTGCGAGAATCGTCAAGGGGACCAGATTTCCCAAAGCTTTGGCCTGCAAGAACCCTGGAAAAGCGTCGCGCTCCATTGCCTGAAAGACATAGTCTTTCGCCGGATCGAATACTTCAGGATCATCTCTGCCATCGTCTTCAATGAGATTGATGATGCCGGATACCATCTCCTCGGGAAGAACGATTTCTCTCTCTGCCCCCGGAAGCAGGTACGTGTAGAGGATCTTCTCTGCGCTGGCGCGAATATCGGCACGTGCCACCGTATGGCCTGGCGAAGGCGAGTCATTCCGAGTCCCAGAACTGTCCCGAGGTTGCAGCTCATTCGATGTGGTGCGAGCAGCATTCTGCGAACCAAGGCTGCTTTGAGGCGAGTGTCCGGATGTTTGACCTTCAGAGCGGAGAAATGCAGACAGTCTCTGGTCGGCATCCCGGTCGCCGACGTCGTTTAATCCATGGCGTGAATTGGAGGGACCAGCTTCAACGAGTGGGATGTCGTTGTAATGCTCGAAATTATCCAATGCCCCGGAAGATCCTTTGCTGTCGGCTTTCTCAAGATCAGGCGTAGCTACCAAAACGGACCGACGTAGTTCCCGAACGTAATGACGACAGAGGGACATGTGTTGCGAGACATCGAGCCTAAAATAGAGACATGGGTTATTAACAGCCCTCCAGCAGGTAACAAAATGTTTCCCAAGCATACCAGAAGTCCAGATAATCCACTGAGCGCTGTTGATCCCGCATATAGATATAGAAGGAAAACAGGTCGACGGGAGCGAGGGTCCGGCGACTGAGGACCTCGAAGAGCGTGGGGAGGCGATTGCGCTGCTCCAAGCTCGAAAGAGAGGGCGACGCCATGATGGAACGAATGTTGGGAATCTCTCCTGCTGAAGGGTAGGTTTTGAATTTTTTTTACTCTTCCTGAATCAGGCTCAAAGGAGCTGCGCCGCGATGAGGGGCCGAAAAGGGGAACGAGCGAACGTCGGATTGGATTTAGGGACGGGGTTTGACAAAGGAGTCGAAAGAGCAATTGGGAAGGGATCCGGCGTGTTATGTCTGTAGCTGATCGAGGAAAAGGCTGGCGAGACGCGACGATAAAAAAAGAAGGACGGTCAAACAGTTGGAGTTCGGCAGTTGAGCATGGGATCGCAGCGATACGGGGACGAATTGAGGCCTATGTGCAAGCCAGGAGGCCCTGCAGAAGGTCGTAAGGTACGTATTCCGAGGCAGTAAACAAAACAGCCGACCGACTGCAGGAGAGGTCAGGAAGTTGCGACAGAAGCCATCCAGGAGAGGCTCGGGAAGTGGATTCACAGGCAGCAACAAGAGCGAAAGCGAAAGAGGAGGGGAAAGAGATTGACGAAGCCAAGGGTAAAAGCGAGGGAAAGGGTGTGGATGGCCAGCCCGCAGACACGCAGCGACGGGCGAAAAGACGACTGACTAGTTTGTGCTTTGGGAGACCAACCAGTTCGTTGATTCGTGATGCCTGAGGGAGGTGCCTGAGTCCCCACTCCCTTTCCAGCAATGGTTCCTCGCATTAATGTTTCCCCGAAATGACCTGGTTCCACTTACGGCCGATCTTTTGGATCTTTTGACACTCGCCAAGGGGTAGACTACTAGCCGATGATGATGATGATGATTGCTTACTGTCTACGGAGTAGAGAGAGGATGATTTCTCCTTTTCTCTGAGTCCAGTATATGGAAAATACAATACAATGTCTTCTGTAATGCAGGAAAAGAACTCCGCCCCTCTCCAGTCACCTCAATTACGGCACTACTACATCCTCTGCAACCCTTCTGTTGGTCTCATCTACTCCATCCACATCCATCCCACCCAAAAAAAGCAACCCACGGCGGATCCGCACCGTTGGTTCTCGGTCGGTCCATAATAATATGTGATTATTGCAGGGCCGTGGCTGGCAAACAAGACTAAACAGCAATTTTTTTTTTTTATTCTTTTTTTATTCCTTCCGACTACCTTCCAATCTGCAATCTGTGTCCTATATTTAACAATAATAATAATTAAAATCTCGAACAATGTCCATTTTGCCCGGGGGCGGGTCATGGACTGGACCGTTATTCTCCTGCAAGCCACCCCAAAAACGAGTGTTTTGCTTTATGTGTGCACTGGGCAAATAATTAATTAGATTTAAAAAACCGGGACGGCAAATGATGAAAATCGTGCCGATGATAAGCCCAGTGAAACACCCCCGTTTCTATTAATCTTTCGTTTTAAGGTTACTCAATGATATCATTGTTTATGGTGCCTTTTTTTTTGTATTGCCTACACCGAACTAGATAGCATAGAGTAGCAGGCATATTGCATAAGTAGGGAATGAAATAACTACACTTACTCTTCACCGCTATGTTCATGTCCCTGCTTACTATCCAGAAAAATTGCCAAATAGCTTCTTCGATACTTCTAAGCTAACGCCAAGGCTAAGGTTTCAGTCCAAACTCTCTAACATGTCAGACCTCCATGGTTTGAAATGGTAACTCCTTCATGGTCAGCTGAATCTTTCCAACATACTTACGGAGGTTTCTAATCGACCGGTCTTATCTCTGCACCTTCCTCGATTGACGGGGTTCATAGAGAATTGCAGCTTTGTGTTTGTACTGGACATTTTCCAGCTTTGCGTCTGTACTGGACATTTTGCGTCGAACGAGTCCTTCAAATATCCAATGAACAGATTATACAGTATTCATATGATAATGATGAGTCAAAATAATACTAAATGTGTTAATTATTACCAAGTTGAACTCGCCACTTCTTCTACCCAGTATATTACTATACTAAAGATGCTTCGGCGATTAGGGGGACAGTCGGGCAAGCCGTGCTTATTGAAGAGGTCTTAGGAGGATGTAACGGAGTTAACGGATTCGGGGTTCGGACTTCTACGGACAGTAATAACTATATCAAGGATCCCAAATCCCAATGGATCCAGACATAATCAGCTCTCGCAGATTGATATCATCTCAACTATCATCTCAACTATCATCTCAACTATCATCTCAACTATCATCTCAACTATTCCATGCAAAAAACATGACGACCTCCAAAGTCCTCGTTCTCATCACCGGCGCCAATCAAGGCATCGGCTTCGCCGTGGCACAGCAGCTAGCTAGCTCAAGCAAGTTCCATGTGCTAGTCGGCGCACGCACAATACTTAAGGCCGAAGCTGCAGTCAAGGAGCTGGAATCGGATGCAGTGGACAAATCAGCTCTCACACCCATTACCATCGATGTGACAGATGATGCGTCCATCGCTGCAGCTGCGCAGACCGTCTCGGAAACATTCGGACGTCTGGACATCCTGATCAATAACGCGGGCATTGCGCAGACACCCGCCACTACCCTGCGCGAGCAATACCGGCAAGTTTTCGACGTCAATGTGTTTGGCATCGTGGTTGTCATGGATACATTCCTCCCATTGCTGCGTGCATCAACGTATCCCGATCGCCGCATTGTCAATGTCACGTCCGGGCAGGGTCTGATCAGCAGAGCCGGCCACAAGGATCACCCGGCTAGCGCAAAGACCTATTTCATACCCGACTACCGCAGTAGCAAAGCAGCGGTCAATATGATCACCGTCGCTCATGCGGTAAAGCTGGCTGATGAGAATATCGCCGTCGTTGCGGCTGCCCCAGGCTACTGCCGCACCAGTATCAACGGGGGCCAAGGAGTCAAGGAAGCAAGTGACGGGGCCAGGGTCATTGTGCGCGCTGCAACAGAAGGCGACCCGGAGAAACTGAGTGGGACGTTCGTCGCTGACGAACAATGGAGCCTTGGCTGGTAAGGTAGCGCGTAAGGGGCAAATAAGCAAACGTTTCTGAGCATGGCTGCGACCGATCAATGTGTCTAGTATTGTCGGAAATTATTGAAACACGAAATCAATAGAAGAGACAGGCTAAAAGCTAGAATGCACCATGTTCACCACGCCTGGGTATTTGTTCACGCCACGGAAACGCCTTCAAAGAACTCCAACATACAGAGTACGCTAGTATCAATGCCCGTCGGCCAAATGCTGTGTCATGTTAGCGATCGCGAACAAGAAAGGTATAGGCATCCAAGAAGAAGAATTAGGTTCCAATACTCACCGACCACTCCGGGATATTTCGTATCTGTTGCCACATGAACTTCTCTAGTTTATTGGCACTCTTTGCATAGGGCGTGTTCTCGTTGTTGTACCTCCGACAATTATCAAATATCAACATAGCATCTTTAATGAAGTCTTGTGGCGTCGGATACATGTCTTTCTCATGTTTCTCTTCCATGGTTGACAGGTCCATGGGCTCCTTGATGACTTCGTAATAGTCAGGAACCTCATCGCGATTGACTGGCTGAGTAAATGGCCATGCCGCGCTGTGGTTCTGCATATCGTTAAGAAGATGTAGTAGCTGGTTGTAGTTGGGTCCGTGGCGTGGTTGACGTGCTAGCTCATCCATGTCCGGTGACCATCCCGACTCTTTGATAGCCGGTATACTCAATGGGTCAATCTTGCACGGACCATTCTTCCATTCCTTAGGGGGTGCGTGAATGATATGTGAGCGACTAAAAGCCCGAATCTTTGCGTGTACGGCTTCCTTCTGCTTCAGAAGCATGCGGCCAACCTCGAGGTACCGTATCTTAGGTAGCATGGTGCACTGCATGATTGTACCACCCTCATAATCCTTGATGTATCCCATCCAGACTGATTTGTCGAGTGTTATTTCTTTAGTGAACCCTTGTTTCTTGAAGTACCCAATGGCGTAATTATCGGCGTATGTGAGGAAGTGCATGATGTCCGATGTGGCTTTGACGTAATCCTTGAGATGGGACATCAAGTGCGCACCGTATCCTTTGACCTGCTGGTCGGACGAAATGGCACAGAAAACGATTTCGGCGAACCTGCGACTGTTGAATGGTCGGTATGTGATGCCTCCCACGACTTCCAACGGGTGTTTGACGATGGCCAAGGATAGATGCGACCTGTCATAGACCAATCGCGCGATGTAGTCTTTAGGCATCTTCGGAAGCTGTTTTTGAAAGATACATTTGAGGCCTGTAAGGACAACAAAGCTGTCGCGAGATCCGTCGTTGTTGACTACACGAAACTCGATATCGCCCCGGCGTTCCTCGAGAACTGCAGGCTACCGTGGAGTCAGCGTCATCGGAGCTCGGGCGGGTTGCGGGATTGAGGGCTTACCTTCTCCGGGAAGGGAACGATTCTCGGTGGCTTATCCAGGAGGTCATCTTCGGTCTAAGGTAGGCACAGTACATTAGTTTCATGTCCAGACAACCGCGAGGATATCATGCAACATACCTTGGGTTCCCTCTCGGGAGAGTCAGTGCGCGCCTTCTTGTGGGAATCTGGGGAGAGCGCCTCCTCCGATGCTTTCCGTTTGGCACCTGGACCTGACATTAGCAAATAGACCAAGATAGTCGCGAAGACACGTGTCTCGGCATCAAATACTTACTATCTGTGATTGCAGGCATGATGCGCGAGGAACTTTGATGACTTCTAGACGAAAGCGTCTTGAACCTCAGCGACTCTCTCCACACGAGCTGCGGCCGCGATACGGGGAGCGGAACGGGAAGAAGTTGATCCGCGGCCGTCAAGCCAGATAACCAATTACTAGTTTGGGCTCCATGGCATTACGACGACAGCTTGAGGGAAGCTCCCTCTCCTTCTTCTCCTCATTTCCTCGCATTTCCTCTCTTTAAACCGTCTTCTCTCCTTTATACACAAGCCATTGAAATTAAGCGCATCTCACAAGCCCTCATGTCTCTGAACGAAGTCTGGCAGGCAGCTTCTGCGAGCCCGTATACTCCCCCAGTCTCTAAAGACAGCCAGTTCTTTGTCGGCTTCAGTCTACTACTTGCTGGTGAGCCGGTCCCGACCTCTCACACTCCAAACACTTTACTAACTTACAACAGCTTTCATCCTCACTGGACTTTTCGGTTTGAGTCAGTACACCGCACCAGAGATCATTTCCATATATGAAATGTCTTGTACTCTTGTCTCAACCATATACTTACAACTTGCGCAGATCGTTCCTTCCTCAGCATCGCTTCCTTCGGAGTCCCGGCATCTTTGGCGTTTGGGTAAGCCACAGATCTACCCTAACAACAGCCACCCTATCAACCATCGCTAACAAATTCTCCGTCCAGCTTCGGAGCCGTATTCATGATCTGTGCCGTTGGGGTCTACGTTTAAGAATAATTCCAGTTGTTTCCCAGATACCCATGTACCATACACTGGAGAGTTTGAAACGAAGCATATCGTTACCTTTATAATCACCAAAGTTCTCTTCAACACTTCAGCTCTCTATCTTAACATAGCTCTCGGGTCTCTACTCTGTCGTGCTTAAGCCAATTCCACTCCAAACCATCATGACGGACACGGAACCCATCTTCACTGCTGTCTCCAGCAATGCCCACCACCTCTACACTCTCCTCCAATGCATCGGCTTCGCATCCAGGGCCACGGTGCAAATAACCCCAGATGGAATCCGCTTCTCCGCTGAAGAGATGCGAGTCATCCAAGGTCTCGCATTCCTCGACAAGGCCCTCTTCACCAGCTACACTTTCAACCCACCAGCCACGCCAAACCAAGGGACAACAGACAACAACGACAATGACGACGACGATACAACTTCCGACCCCTCCACCTACTACCCATGCTTCGTCGTCTCGCTATCCGCCCTCCTAGAAACCCTCAAGATCTTCGGCACCAACGACTCCTCCACCAACCCCAACGCCGGTCGAGCATCCAGCGTCCAACCCACCCACCCATCCGGACCTGGAGCCTTCTCCGCCCCATCCTTACTCCTAGACCGTTCCTGCACAATCCGCTACACCAGCGAAGGCTCCCCCCTCAGCATCACTCTCTCAGAGACGGGCGTCAAAACCACCTGCGAATTAACAACCTACGAAACCGAAGGCAGCGAAGTCGACATCCCTCTGCAACGAGATGCCATCATCATGAAGATCATCATGCGCTCTGCCTGGCTTCACAACGCCATCTCAGAACTAGCCGCTACGAGTCCCTCGGTGTTGAAGATCTCCGCGTCCGCGACCCGCGAACCATTCTTCGCTCTCTCTGGCACCGGAGGCTCGTTCAGCGAGTCATCTGTAGAATTCTCCGTCGAGAATAGCGGGGCTAATGGTCCGGGGGGCGATGCAAGAGGCTCAGTTGATGAAGGATCCCGTGCGAAGAAAGCTAAACTTGCGCCGACGGTCACGGAGACGTTCCTTGTCAGTCCGCCGTCGTCGATGGGGTCGCGTCTCAAGCAGAACTATAAGTTCGCGCTGATCCAGAAGGCGGCGCGTGCTATGGCGGTGGCTAATAAAGTGAGCATTCGTGGAGATCGCCAAGGTGTATTGAGTCTTCAATTTATGATTGAGTTTGATGCTAATGGGGCTGGTGGTGTACGGCCGCTCAAGGGTGGTCCGCCGCCTGTTGTGACGTTTGTGGACTTCCGGTTTGTGCCGCTGCTGGATGATGAGGAGGGTGATGATTTGGAGTGAGTGGTATTAGATAGCATATGCTTTGGGTCTATATAGTGGACTTCATATTCAATGTCAAAAAGCAATATAGTGTTCTTTTTAGATTCCCCAACGCCGCCTCATGCTCATTAACCATACCAAATACCAGGTAATATACATAGAACGTATCTATAAGATCGCTGATCAAATCACTCTCTTCCTTCCCAGATGGCGGGGCCTGCAATTCAGGCCATAAACGGAAACTCGAATTCGAAGAGTGACCACATCACATCACCTGAACAAGACAACATTAGTCCTGAAATTTCACTTCATAACCCCGAATATGATTCACATATACGGTAAAAGAGCTTGGGTTGGAGGGGGGGAACATACCTCAGCAATAGACTGCCTCTCAATAATCGACTTCTGCTTCTCATTCCTCGAGACCCGATAATAGTAATCACTAAAGTCACCGCACTGCATATGCCGCAAGAACTCCTCGTCGTGAGTAATGACAATAAGCTGGAAATTGGCCTGTTGCTGTCTGGTCCTGATGATGTCATGAAGCGATTCCGCAAGCGAGCGAATATTATCACGGTCAAGATTCGTTGTGGGTTCATCAAGAGCAATCAGGCCGCAGTTGACACCGAAGCACTCCGCAAGAGCAAGTCGGATGATGATACTTGCTAGCACCTTTTGACCGGCACTGCAGCGGCCGCGCATATCCATTTCCGCGCCTTGTTTGACCATGCAGACGCGGTAGTTGTAGGAGCGGTTGCCCTTGGCGTTTTCGTTGTCGGAGCGGATGAGGATCGTGTCGACGTCAGTGCCTCGGTAGGTCTTTTGCCAGAGCTCGCTGATGATGGCGTTGATTTCTTCCATTTTGAGCCCGTGGTATTTCATGATGGCTTTGTCGAGGGCACCACCGTAGCGTGCTAGGTCGTCCACTGCGGCTTTGGTTGTTTCCACCTTGATGTGCGCTTCCTTGTATTTGCCTGCTGCGTCTTTGTAGTCGGTATTCCAGTCTGCGAGGAGCTGCATCAGTTGGTCGTCCTTTCCTTTCATCTCGCCCATTTTGCTGGCTTGTTTGGCGGCGAGCGCGTTGTGTTCTCGTGCTCTGCGCTCGGATTCTTCTTTGAAGCGGCTTCGGTCGACTTCGGCGTTTTGCGCCGCCAGCTGCTCGATCTCTTCGGTGACTGCGTCCAGAGATCGGGTCGCCTGGCGGTATGTCAGGTTATCGGCGTATTGGCGCTTGGTGTTCTCGCTGTCCTTGAGTTGAGCAGATATCTTATTGATCTCTTTAGTGATATTGGCTTGCTCGGTTTCGAGATTGCTGATCTCGTTCTCGATGCTTTGCAGTTCACGCTTGCTGCGCTCTAGTTGATGAGGGCCGCCTCGCTCGTTGTAGGCGTCGATCTCCTCGTTTGCCAGTTCAAGTTGGTGTACATTCTCGTAGAGGTGGGATATCTCCTGCTGCATGTCCTTTTCACGCGCTTCGGCACGCTGGCTGATATCGTCGTACTTGGCTTGGACCTTGAGAAGTTCAGGGGTGAGATCTTCAATCTCTTTGTCCGCCTTTGCAATGGCTTCGCGTTGTTGGTTGTTGAGGTTCTTGTACTCTTCGATGCGAGCCAGGAGGTCTGCCTTTCGCTCGAGCTTGAATTTCACGTTGTCGAGATTGCTCTTGACGTCTCTAAGTTGCAGCTCCAATTGGTTCATCTCAGACAATGTTTGCTCCTTGTCATGAGTGAGTTTCGACAGAGTCTTCTTCAAGGCTCTAGACTTCTCGCCATATCCCGCAATTTCATCCTGAATATCTTCCAGTGTACGAGAGGCATTCGTATCGTGCTGTTTCGAAGACAAGTCCTGGACCTGGGAGCGTATGGACTTGATTTCACTGTCGTATCTGACAATAGTATTGACCGTCTTTGACAATGACTCGACGTCCTTCTTCTTATCGGCCTTTTCGCTGACCATCTTGTCGTTCTCTTCTAATTGGCTCAAGAGCTTGTCTTGTTGAGCAGTATACTCTTCTTCCTCTTTCTCCAGATCTGGAATTTCTGTCTGCTTCAGCCGACACCAGGTATCATAGGCTGTGCTGGCCTCGCGGGCGGTATTAAGGTCCTCTTCGAGACGGGGTATTTCGTCATCCTCCATCACCCGTTTCGCTCTTTTCACTAACCCCTCTAACTTGTTCTTGAAGGTCTGTAGCTCATTATCAGTTCGGAAAGTCCGCATGCACAATCTGCACATTTTTGCCGACTTCACGGTGTCGAGACAGTCAGCCATGTACTTGCTGACTCCGGCGTATTGTTCAGCGTCCTTCCTGGCAAGATCGAGCTGGGCTTGACGCTCTTTCAGAATCTCGGGGTATTCTTCCGGTTCGTCATCGACGGCATCGCGGATCTCTTTGATGCACTCCTTGAGTTCCTTCTGTCGCTGACTTAATGTTTTCTTGACGCCTTTCATTTTGAACTCCACCTGCTCGAGTTCTCTGCTGACTCCATCACGCTCGCGCTCTGCCCTAGAGACATGTCTGGATTCCTCCTCTATGACGTGCTGGTAGTCCTGCTCTAGAGACTCAGGGCTCCAGTTGGCATTTACAAACTTTGCCAGTCGTTCACCGTGAGCTCCTTTCATCGTCTCCAATCCGCGCTCCCGTTCCTTCAATTCCTTCTTGAGGTGGTCTAATCGAGCCAAATCACCAGCCTTCTTTGTTGCCTCGATGAGCTCGGTATTCAAGCGCGAACTCTCATCCTCAAGTTCGCGGATCTGTGAGTTCACATTCTGAATCTCCTTGTCCCAAGATGCGGATCGTGCGCGCTCCTTGGCTTGGTCCAAACGAGATCCGATGTCTTCAATGTTCGACTCCAGGGCAGCCTGGACGCCTTCGTCCACGTTGATCTCGTTGAGTTTTCCTTGGTAGGTGGCTGCTTCCCTATCATTCGAGGCTATCTGTCGCTTGGCTGCGTTTTTGCTTTCCTGTAGCGCAGACTTCTGTTGTCCGATCTGGTTAAGGGTTGCCTGGACGTCACGTAGTTCACTTTGCGCCTCCTTCTTCACCCGTTCCAGTGCCAGGTTTTGATCTTTCAGGATTTTTCGCACTCTCCGCATGAACTCGTCAACGTCTGCCTGGTCCTCGACATTATCGTAACCACGGATATTGTGCGCTCGAGCGACCTCTTTCGTCATCCTCTGTCGCCGCTCAACCTGGCGCTCGAAGTTGGCTTTGTCGTTCTCAAACTTGCCATACTCTGCTTGCTTGACACCCAGTCTTTGTCGAGTTTGTTCTATCTGCTCCTTGAGCTCCATATAGTTCTCCTTCTTGGCTTCTTCCTGCTGCTGGTACTGAAGCTGCCTTGACTCAAACTGCTCCAAGTTCGACTGTAGCCACTCATCGGAGTCGTCTAGCTCAACTAGGTGTCTCTTGAGATTATCAATAGTCGTCTGGATACTCTTGGCCTCGATGCGCTTTCCTTCAAGCGCACCCAAGACCTGAGAGTAACTTTCCGACTCCTTCCACGCCTTATCAGCAAGTTCAGCCACCCGGCGCATTTCCTGAGAGAGCTGGTGTGTTTCTTCGCGCAGAGCTTCGATCTCGTCCTGAAGCTTTATTGATCGTTTCTCTGCACGGTCAGCCTTCTCCTTATCCTCTTTGGCATGTTGCTCCATTATCTTGTACTTGGCAAGCTCCTCATTCTGCTTCTTCCGCAAGGACTTGATATTGTCGATCGCCTTCGTATACTTCATAGCTTCAAAAATCTCATCAAACTTCTTCTTCAGCACCGATGGTTCACTCATCGGCCACAAGCTCTCGTCCTGATGGCAGAATATAACAGAGTCCAGGATCGCCTTGGATACACCGAGATACTGAGGCATGATCTGATCCAGCTCCGCCACGCGGGAGGAAATAGACGTCCGCTCACCATCCTTAACCATCAACAGCTGACCCTCTAGTGTCTTTTGTTGCCGTGTTGTTTTCTTCACTGTGAGTTGTAGACTCCTCGTAGCGACCATCTTCGCGCCTGACGTGCCTTTGAAGGACAGTTTCACCTGGGCCAGGACTTCCTTCTCGCCACATAGCTGCCATAATAACTCAGCACGACTGTCCATTCTACTCAATACCATAACTTATAGAATCGCGTACCTTCGGATCGTGGATGAACGCACCACCCTTGCTGTTGGGCGGTAAATCGCCGGTGGTCGCATATTTGAGACACTCGATGATTGTCTGCCCCCAACTCCATTAGCCTGAGAACCTCCATAATACCATCATATACCATCCATCATACCGTCTTTCCAGATCCATTATACCCAACAATCAACGTAAGCGGCGTGTGAAACTGGATGGTCTCGCTGCGCGTATTATCGAACGACCGAACACTAGAGCCCATCACAAGCAACTGTCAGCAAAACACTCCTATACATCTCTCCATCCAAATAAACCAGGGGGGGGAAAAAGCACTCACCCCAATATCGACAACTTATCTATCTTCGCTGCGACAAGCAAACCCCCCGATAGTTAGTACCCTCGATCTTTCAGACGACCTCCGCGGAACTTACACCTGCGGACGGACTGATTAGTAAAGAATGTTTGTGGCCGGATGCAGAACGAAATCTCACATTATGGAAGACGTCACTTCACAATGGAAGGTAACAAAATAAAGAAGAAAAGGCCCGGTCCGTTTCCACGGATGCGTAAGGGTAGGTAGCAGGCCTGCAAATCACACCTTCCCCGTGATATTCTTTCTCCACTCGGGATAAAGAAAGCGTGCCGGATAGATAGCAAGCAGCTGCGCTTGGGATCGGCGCGTCAGTCGACGCGGGGAGACGGCGCGAGGTCACGTGTATGGGCGGTCAGTTGGGGGGTGGGGGATATTGATTTGGGATGTATATGATTTCTAGAGAACACCACTAGGATGGGATGGGGTAGGGGGCGCTTAATGCTGTGGCTGGAAGATGCTTTGGCAGAGGTGATTGGATGGTCTGTGGCTTGCTGATACTTTCTTTTAAGGGGCATGCTTTCCCTTCCTTGGAGGGACTCTGTACTTCTTCGTGGAACTATTGGGGACGGACGCTCCGTTCTTGGTTGGGTGGAAGAGCCAGGGGTAAGTTGACTACATGGGCTATGGGATGAAGTCCCTGCTGAAATCTCTGTACGCAAATGATCAGAGGATATCCCTGTGCAGTATGCCTGCGTTAAGCTACTTGATATCAGGATGGCTGCAACAGATGAATCACTGGCAATTCTATCTCGGGGTATTTCATGTTATTCGACAACAATGAATCGGGCAATGCAAAGACTAATGGATTGTGTGTTGATACCCCTACCCCTTCGCTGTATCCCGTGTTGCACGTACCTTTAGGTTCAAGAGGCTGTGCCTCAGATGTAAATAGCGGGCATAACAACTATGATGATATTGACTGTAGATTTTTTGGGCTAGAGCGGTTACTCAAGTGCACATAGGATTGATGATGCGAACACTAGGTGTCACATACAAAAGGCTCACCTTACCTTCCAGCCTTCTCTGGTTCAAAGCCCTCTTCTCTCAAACCTATCTGCTCGTCGAACCACCCTAGTCCACTCGCCTTCAGATACTATGCCAGATTACCTCCTTACAGGATGTTTTGCTTCAAGAACAACATCGTTCTCTTGTTCTTGTCCTGTCCCTTCTTTAAGGCTAGCATGGCCACTTCTTTTGCCAACCCTACCGAAGTTGCCAGCGCCGATGATGTAGTTGCTGGGAATATTGGTACTGCGGCCATCAATAACCCTAACGAGGCCTTCAACGATGTCGACGGTAATGGCATGTCCATGGCCACCACAGATGTCGAGGAAGAGTTGAACTCTGTAAATACCATCCTATTTGACTGGTGGGGTCAATGCTAACCGACTTCAAGAATTACCGTTTCTGCGAAGGCAGGTGCAGCGTTTTGAAAGTGTGCAATTGCCATGATAAAGAATATCATTTCTGTGGTTGTCACTATCATGGACTGAGGTGCCGGTGCAAATACTAGTTGTGAATTAATGGTAAGTAAGATCTTCCAGCTGAGTGGTGCATCAGCAAAGCTGATGTTGTCTTTGGAAAGTAGCGGCCGCCAAGCTTACGTTCCTCCATGTGCATGTCGTAGTTGCTTCTGACGTGTCGAACAAGGTAGACGGTGGGGCTTGGCTAGTGATGGTCTCGGTCTCAGAAGATGTGGAAGGATCCTGGAATAGTGACGGCAGTAATTGTGGTTCTCAGGTTCTCTGGTAGGACCTTCACATTGAAATCTCTTGCCAAATAGTCAATCGCAGCAGATTAGATTTGTTAATGAACCATCTGATACTGTAGCACACAGGTTTATATGGGATATAAAGGGTACTCTTGTGTTAGCCATATCTGACCGTCTCATGCTCTGCGTAGTAGCTCGTCATCAGTAGTAGCGTAAGTGGGAAGTGCATTCATCCTTTGTAAGGCTGGAAGGAAGAACATAATAGAGCATTGTATTAGACTCCCCAAGACAGGGGATCATCCCGCCGGTAGGACATTCCGGGTCTGGTCTGCGCCTGGGCTCGCTTAATCCTCTAGGCCATCTCCACCAGCACCTAACAGAGTCCAACGTACCCGTTCGCGTGGGTGCGGTGTGGTCTGACATCTGCAATTGCACAGACGGGTGACCGTTAGCATCTGCAGCTTCCCAGCTTTGCATGTTCTTTCAAGGCGGGATGGATTGTAAAGGGCGTTCGGTGTGAATATCCCACGGAGAATTAAATGAAGGCAAATGCGGATTGCAGGCTCCTCAAGGGGATGATAGTCGAAATAGTCGATAGATAGTGGATAGTTTCATCTAATATTGATGCCTGATATCAGCCCACGATATTTAAAATTAGTAGATGGCGGCGCTACGCGATGCACGTCCCTAGCGGATCTAACGGAAGCCAGATAGTCAACCCGTGCTTGACAAGATAATCCCACACCACACCACGCAGGATGATGTATGCTTCAGGGATGAGGTGATCGTGACAGGAAAGGAGTAGGAGTAGAGGGCCAGTCAAGAGGGATTAAATCCAGGATAACCCATGGGGGTATCGCAAGCGAAGCAGCAAGAATACCCAACTTTGAAGCAATGAAGCATCGACCGGGATGCCCCCTGCAGCAATCATACAGACATACCGACCTGTATTGTACAGCGGTACCTGAAAGTTTCCCGACGCCGCAACAACCCACCAATCAGCAGCCCGGATTGTGCGGAAATCCCCGGGAAGCCCCATCGGCGGATTTGATTGGCAGCCGCAGTGGATCCCGCGTGTCGGTGCGATACCAATGACGATGTGGCCGGCCAAAAGTACAAGAATTGACAGCTCTACTGGATTCACCACCGCGGTCATGTCCAGAAAAAGTCCAAGAAACACTGCTCACTTACCCTCTCTTCCTTCGCTCTCTACCTCCTCCCAATTCCTTTCTGTATCATATTCTTTATAGGGAACCCTATCGAGATTTTTACCCCCCGGGAAGAAGAGTCCCCACCACCCCGGCGATCGATCGATTTGATCCCCGCGCAGCCCAGCGATGGAACTCGAATTCCATCAAGGACGAAGAGTGGCGCAGAACCAGACTCCGTCCCAGGCATATGGTCTACGAGCCCCAGTGTCGAACTCAAAACCACCGGGGCCCCCGTATAGCATGGACGCGCGGAGTATTCCTCGCTCGATGAGCCGCGGCGCCGCTAATCTGCTTCAGCTCTCTGCTTCCGCTACTGCTGCTGCTACCACTTCAACGACTCCTGCCACTATCACAAGCACAGTCCCTGCTTTTACTTCCATACCTACAACTACTACAGCGCCAGCGGGAACCAGCAACCCCCACCACCCCACCCCCGACATAGGCCCTGCCGGCACCAACAATGACGGCTGGTCTGCACGGGTACTAGACGAACTGAAAGACCTGCTCCTTCTCCTCAGTCACGATGGGCAGGTTCTATACGCGTCACCATCATGCTCCGAGGTGACGGGGATTGAATCGCACATGCTAGAACAAAGCGATTTTTCCCGTTTCGTCCATGAAGACGACAAGCCTATCCTAGGCCACGAATTGGATGAGTGCATCAAAACTGGACGCGAAATCCGATGTCACTTCCGGCTGTGTAGGCCTGACAGTAGCTCCTGTCTATTAGAGGCGCATGGCCATCCACACCTAATGACGACCGGGTCTCCTTCTGCGACCGCAGAATCATCCCAGCAGCAGCAACAACAGAAGACAGTCTGTAAAGGGATATTTCTTGTCTGTCGACCATACCCCACACGGGGTTCACAGTTACTCGATTCGTTTCTGGAACATAAGATTGAGAACATCCGGCTGAACCAGCGCATAGCCCAATTAAAGGAAGAGGAAGAAGAGGAGTTGAATTTAAGACCAGGGCAGACGTCAACAACAACGACGACCAGCACCACTACCACGACAACAACGCGCCAGACGTATGTATCAACGACACAGACCTCGTTTGCGCAACGAGATACATCAGTGTCTGGAGAGGAGAACGAATCATCCGACACAGTCACTAATACGGACGACGCCGATTCGCGATCATTTCTGGAGCAGGTTGGGGATCGGTTGCCGCAGACTGAAGACATGTCCCATATCGACGGGATCGAGGTTATGACGGGTTTGTACTACGGAGAAGGAGAAAGATCACAGGGATTGAGTACGGGAGTCCGTCATGGCCGTCTGATTCGTTGTGATACGGAGCAGCCGAATACCGTTGCTGCCGGTTCTGCTGCGGCGGCGGCTCCTCCAAGCGACCAACAACAGCAGCAACAATTGCAACAGCAGCAGCAACCGCAATCACAACCCAAGAATCCTGCAGAGGCCGTTGACAGGAAGAAAAGAATGAAAGGCGAGTATATGTGCACGGATTGCGGGACGTCGGATTCACCCGAGTGGAGGAAAGGCCCGGAAGGACCGAAGACTCTGTGTAACGCTTGTGGATGTGAGACCTCCCCCTCCTTGATCATCTGACTAGACAACTTCCGTATCAGTACTGACATTGAAATGTGATCAGTACGTTGGGCCAAGAAAGAGAAAAAGCGCCAGGATTCAGGACCGTAGTAGTTGGTGGGAGGGGAAACGCAAAGAAAAGGAAAAGGAATAAGGTGGGGCTTGCATTTGTATGAATTGTCATTTACTTTCTACTGCTTTGCTGCTGTTGCATTTGCCAGAAGGGGCCAATTTACCCCTGCGAGGATACCCCTGCTTATGTACTCCTTTGTGCATTGTGCTTTTTCTTGTTCTCCTCGGTAGCACATTTTTCTTAGCGGCTGCGCTGTCACAGCATTTGCACTTCTTCTTGACCTACTACCTACCATTTTATTATGCTCTTCTCTTCTGAAGTGAGCAGATATCATGACTTTATGCCCGACTCGCTCGAACTATATTCAGCTCAGATTGCAACATAAGTTACAACTATAATGAACTCCGCGTGATACACGTGCGCAGGATAGTATAGTTTCGAGTCTTGAAAATGTAGATGTAGGGATACGATAGGATATCCGGATAGAAAGAACCAAAGTAGATAGAGGAGTTACAATCATTTGACACCAGAGTTTAGTTTAAGTCAGTATACTATCAGTCTTAACTCGTCGTCAAGTATAAGCAGGGAATAGGGCTCTAAAGTACCATAGTATGGATCCCTCTAAACGAATAGAAAGTATTTCCAACGCTCCTCTCTAGTCCTGAGAGACTGCAATACCATTTGTTTCCTAGCTATCTTAGTTGTTACTCTACTATACACAGTATGTTCAGCTCGAAGCTAATTTCTTTGAGAATTCAGTCGGCCATATTGTAGAGCTAATTAGGGTGGGATTGGCAGTGACCAACTCCTCCAAATATGATTGACTAGTAGTCACCTAGAACCCTACACTAGCAACCCGTTTGGGATGAATACAAATAGCGCCTGTTGATATGCAAATCATCACTTCTATTAACTAATCCATCTAATCATCATGGTGTCTAAACTAGTACTATGTCCCTGGTGCGTATATACTCAAGCGATCTATATCTAACAGCATGAAAGAATGATATCTTATCTTTAGCTGCACCGCATCAGTTCTTGTTGGCTCCCTCATGGACTGCAGTCAGTCCATCCTGAGCAACCTCCTTCACGGAAACCTTGCCACCCAGGATATCCTTAGTCGTAGCGAGGATCGACTCCCAGCTCTCGAATAGTGTGAACGGAATCTTCTCGCGCTCGCAGAAAGTCACCAAATCTAAAAGAGAGTCAGTAACTACGGAATGCAAACCTCAATGTCAGATTCTGGTAAACGTACCCTTGCCCTTTTTGGCAAACAGAAGATCCGTCTCTGCAGCGGCTGACAAATCGGACACGCCATCTCCTGCGTACAACAAGGTCGGGCGCACACCGTCCGGCAGTGCGGCATAGGGCTTGATTTCCAGGGACTTGTCGTGGCCGAAGTGGCTAGCAGTATGACGTCAGTTCTGGCCCAGCGACCGGTTCCAAGAAGTTTTCCTTACCTATCGTCATGGTACTTGATCTGCCAGCCCCCCTCGGAGTTGATGTCCTTGCCATCACGGCTCTCAACCTGGTTGGCAACGATGTAGAGGTGGTCGTCCGGCTCGCCGCCCAAAAGCGTCTCGAAGAGGGCGCTGATGACTGGGATCATGCCGGAAGACAACACCACGATCGGGACGTTGTTCTCCTTGGACCATTTGTAGAATTCCACGAAGTAGGGATCCAGCTTCATGTTCTTCTTGAGGTACTCGATGCACTCGTTGTAGGGGGTCTTGATGCTGTCCAACATGTCGCGAAAAGCGTCACTTCGCACTAGTAGTTAGCAAGGTGTCTACATATGCTGTCTGTATTCACATACCGGAAGCTCATGGTGCCCTCAAGGACGGCCTCATTGCCTTGACGGCGCTTTGCGCGCCCGTAGCCAAGGTTATCGATCTTGCGACCAAGTGTCAGTGACATGCAAGGTTACTGGGGTGCTTGTAGGTTGTAAAGGGTAGATACCATAGCATCATTGCCTGCATAGAGTACTTAGCTAGTGGACATGCTGTGCGAACTTCGTCTGTACCTACTGTCTTCGAGGGTGATCGTTCCATCGAAATCGGTGAAGAATATGAGCTTGGGGTTCGTTTTCATGTACGGTAGCGTGGTAACAGTCATGATGAAGGCCTGGTTGCTTTTCTGTATCGGCATTAGACTTCAGCACCAGCTGACATATAGGGAGTGTCTTTTCATGCAAAAGTGTGGGTGATGCTCAGAAGTAAACGACGGCAATAACTCCGTCCCTGAGAAATGGAACAGGGGAAACAAACCTAAATCAAGGACGGCAGGGGATGGAAATAAAATCGGTCGGATATCAGGGTAACAAAAAGAAGGAAAAAGACGTGAACTTTGAGAAAGAAATGGAGCGAATCCAAGTAGAGAGAAGCAAAGAGAGAAGAGAAGAAGAACCCCGCGGTGAGAAAGCAGAGAGACTAGACTCGATCAAGTGCAAAGGAGGGACAATCACCACCAGCGATGGACCCATGCGGAGTTCCCCATAATTTCCAGCGCGACACTAAAAGCTGGAATTGTCCTCTTTTCGGTGGAGCCAGTCTTATTTCCCTTGTCTAATGCTAATTTTCTGACCATTCTGGGTCTAGCCGAACCGAGTATCTTCCCGGCGAGTCTCCAAATCGAGTCCCGAATTTTTGATGCTCGATCTTTTCGGTGCCGATACTTTCTCGGGCACTTGATTGAGGGCATCACTCCCTCCGAATCATTACACGCCATGGCTCGTCTACTGCAATCATTGCGTCGAGCCCTAGGCTTAACATCTTCCACTCCTGTCCCTCGCTATGCCCGCTCAATAGACACCAATTTCTCCGTCTTTCGGGGTATGTCACACCTTTATTCGACTGAACGCCGTTCGCTCGTTCACAGTTTGCGCGCCATCCCACACTAACAAATTACATCCACCACTTAGAGGGAGATAGAGTTGTGGTCCATGGCAAGTCGCCGCTACTAAGCAAACCCTTGCGGAAGGGTCATAAATCCGACACTCGTCGCGGACAATTGGAGCACGACAACATCATCGGCCGGAGGGTACGGGATCTGGTTCAGGCGCGGAAAGGTCAGTATCTTCCTCATTCCAATATCAACCCAGCCGGGCGCATTCTAATAATCGCCATTGAATATAGGCCCTGAATACCGACTCTCCCTCCCTACGCTCGAAGAATATGTTGCCATGACCCCCCGTCTAGTCACGCCGGTACGGACCTACTACACCGTCGTCAACGAGACCACGACCACCCCCAATTCCTCATTAACGCATGCCATTAGATCTACTCAGCAGACGCCAACCTCATCGTTTCCCTCCTCGACATCCACATCGCACCCCCAGCCGAAGGAACAGACACACCGCCCCTTGAAATCCTCGAATCCGGCACCGGCCACGGCTCCCTGACCCTACACCTAGCGCGCGCCATCCAAGGCGCCAACTCTACTCCTCCCCCCCTCCCCCCAAGCTCGCAAGTCACATACCTACCCACCAAACCCGGCGAGGTCTCGATCCGCAAGTTACAGCCGCCCGCAGATGGCGCTTCAGAAACGACCGTGGACCCCGACCAGGAGAACTGGGACGCCTGGCGCTCCCAACGCAAAGCAATCATCCACAGCGTCGACGTGACGCCTAAATCCTCCGTCCACGCCGAAGGCATTGTCCGGGGTTTCCGTCGCGGCATCTACGCAGGCAATGTCGACTTCTATGCCGGGCACGTAGAGGATTGGATCGCAGAGCAAAAGAGACAACGCGCACCGACGGGCCTCCTTTCCTCGCTCAAGAAAGATGAAGTTGAGCCGTTCCTCTCCTACGCGATTCTGGATATGCCCTCCGCGCATCTACGGATTCCCCACGTCGCCTCGATCCTGAAGCGGGACGGCATTCTAGCTGTTTTCATGCCGAGCGTGACGCAGATCGGCGACTGCGTGGACCTCATTCGTCGACAGAGACTACCTTTCGTTCAGGACAAGGTTGTCGAGCTCGGAAACGGGATCAGCAGTGGTCGGCTATGGGATATCCGGCACGCGGTGAAGAAGTCCCGGGATAATGTGTCGGTGGCTTCCTCCACCGAGGAGGGTTCCGGTTCGGAGGAGTCCGTCGAGGCGGGTGCTGTTGAGACTGAATCTGCAGATGCTATTGAAGAGAAGACGCCCAAGGAGGAAGACAGTGTGCTTGTGTGCCGGCCAAAGGTTGGTGCGCGGATTGTGGGCGGTGGCTTTGTTGGAATTTGGAGAAAGATAGAGGAGGATGCGCGGAGGAGTTGAGCTGAGCTGGCTGAGCTTTGTTAAGTCACGCGGTTTGTCTACCTACCTACCTACCTACCTACCTACAGTATTCTTGGATACCCATTTGTACCATAACATGCATATTATAGAAGAAAGATCTACCTCATGTACTATTACTCAAAATTCAATCACTGTCTTATGACTCCAGACAACACATCCCATAATCAATAAGAGCATACACACATGCACTCACTGGAATACATTCTACAACCTAGATAAATAGATAGAGAGAACCCCCATCGTAAGAGACTTAATAAGATAAAAACAACGAGATAAATAAGAACAGGCTGATTCAAATATACTAATAACAAACGCACTACCACCACCCCCCATTCCCCATACTAAACAACGACAACAACAAAAAATGTCAAATCAACCACCCACTCTCTCTTTCTACATCAAAAAGAAGAAAGATTTCAACTAACAACAAGCTCAGCTATAACCGTCAAGCGAGTCCCAAACCAACGAAGCCCAACAAACCAACAGGCACGTACGTGAAAGAAGACCGCCGACCAGTAGTAGTAGTCGCCTAAGGATACAACGAGCACATACACACACAGAGATACAGATGAGACCGATTCGCCCGCCTAAGTGCACAATATTGAGATGAGATGAAGAAGGTTTAAGAAAGGAGAGAGAGAATCCGTTCGTGAGATTCATCTACAACAGATGGAGAAAAGCATGTTGGAAAGTGAAGAGAAAATAGTATCGTCGTTAAGAAGAAGAAGAAGAAGAAGGCATAATCAGATCCTAACACATACCAAAGCTAGGAGGAGGAACAACGTAGTAGTAGTAGAAAGAGAGCGTGAGAGAGTGTGAGTGTGTGTTGCGTGAGATAAAGCAAAGCTGCTGCGCCGATGTGACTGGCTACTTTCCAAAGATGATGCATGGATACGCAGAGTTCCATTTGAACGAGAGTCCGCTGGGCGACAGCAGTAAGCAGGAAATAAACTCACAAGAATGGAAGGAAGAAAAGAAGAAAGGAAACAAAATGCAACAAGAGCATGATAGCGTAAGAGGAAAGAAAAGAGTAAAAAGAGTTAACACCACAGACACGCGAAAGGCCCCCAAAGATTCCGAGATAACAAGATGAACCGGCTACACAAACACCAGTCTCGTAAGATTCAACATGCACCGTCCCTTCAATTCCGTTGCGGCCCAAAATCCGCTTCCACAACCTTTCC